TTTCTATGCCAGAGCAATCGTCCCTGCCGGAAATGAAGCATTTCGTTCAACGGACCACGTCGTTTCCGTTGGATCCTACTGCAAAGTCTTGTCCCTCGAATACCATTGCACCTGCACTTCGAAGTTGCACCTGCACGTAACGTTACTGCAACCCTATCTATTTGAGCCTGTACAGTATTTTCCAGGCTCAACGAAGTAATGAATTCCGCTTTTTTCAGATTTAAATTAAAATTTCCGAAAGGAACGTCTACATCAAAGTGGATGATTTTTTGTATTTTTTAGAATTTGAAATTTTTTTACAAAAAATTCGAGCGATCAACAATTTTTTTCCTAACTCGAAAAAGAATTAATGAAAAAAGTATGAACTGTGCGAAATTAGTCGAATTTCAAATTCTTCGTTAATTGAGGGCGCGAGGGTTATTAAAAAGAAATTACTGTAGACCTCCCTTCGCATACAGTAGAACAGTGGAAAATTAGCCAGACGTGATATTACGTACAACGTGATGGTAGCAGGTCATCATCTAATATCTTCGTCATGGGGGTTGTAGAACGTCGACATTATGAAATTATGTTCGCACCCTTCCTGTTAACCATCCCCTATGTATATACCCACGTACAGCGTATTAAGACGAGCTCTCAAACACATTGCCGATGCATACGTACAGAACCATTAATAGAATGTATAAGGATAGGTCACCCTTAATACGCACTGTACAGCCTTATGTGAAGAGTCACCCTATACTCTGTGTGTAGACTCGCCGTTAATATATCCAACCTCAGGCAAATGTATCTATCCGGTGGACGGACAGCCGTGAAATTACTGCCATTTTTTTTTCATTCATCTTTTTTTCCCTTTATTCACCCCCGTCGTTACGTGAAAATTTCAATTGCCTAGAGCGACTCTGCATTCTCTTGAAACTCTCGCGAAGATTATGTAACAGTCGGTTGCTTATGTTGACATGTCATTCGGGACGATTCAGCTGTGAACGTGAAATAAAATTTTTGCCAAAAAAATATTTTGAGAGGTGTATGTAAATACGTTTTAATCAAAAAGTGTATCGACCGTAGGTAATTGAATTACAGTTTATATAATTATTTTCGAAAATGAGACTAAGAAAAAAAATATTCTCGCGTACAGTGATTTTATATTTTTGTTTACCTGGTCGATAAAACAGATGCCAATGGGTGGCGAGAATTTGAGAAAAAAGTCGAACAGCTTTTTAAGGTTAGGTAAGGTTAAGAGAGAGTCCTCTGGTCGATTTATGACGAACTGTCAATTCGTTGATGCATTCGTGATACCATCGTGACCAAAAGTCTTGACGGACTTTGTGGAGATGTTGCCAGTTCGAGAAACTATTCATCCGAATGTCTCTGAAATTTCTTTCTGCCTCGTCAGTGAATCGCCAACGAGGAAATGTCCAGGAGTCGATATTCCTCTTAATAATTGATGTCCGAATTAGCGTATGGGGTGAACCAGCCGGTTGCCAATTTATCAAAGTCATTTGTCATTATTTATGAAATCATTTATATAGGGATGAAAACTAAGAGGGACGAAGGAAGGAAATGTTAAAGGTCTGTCCCTTGAGCGATCCAATTTCTGTGGTAAAATAACGATCCGTTGATTCCTTTTTTAAAATTCAAATTCGGTTACCGTAAAGCATAAGGGTGCCCCACTTCTTTGTCCTCCATGGAAGATAATTGGCTACACGATGTTCAGGATGGAAATCGTCCACCATTTGTTTCCGGTGGTCCAATTTCCCTTGGTTTAAAAAGCCTCGCGAAATTTGGATATCAGGTATTTTTGGTTTTGAAAATTTTGAATTGCGCGGGCATCTCAAAATAAATGACTTTGAAACACATGACGATTGTTACAGTTGAATATCCTGTCAGATCTGTCATTTGTCACTTTCGCTTTTAATAATTCAAAATTACTGCCTCAAAGTCTATTCTAACCTAAAAAGCACGTAGGAAATTAATGAGCACGTTAACAAATTTAATTCCTGCGGAAGGTACAAAGAGGGCGCCTCCATTCGTAGTGTCAAATTATAATTCAGAATTGTTTATCTCCTCTCGTGTTTCTTCTCTATTATTATTTTCCTCGTACAAGGTACCATGACGCAAGCGAGCAGGGTGAATCGCCAATATCAACAACCTGGGCCCGCGATACCTCAAGCCCGATTCACAAGTAGCGCCAACGATCGCGGCATTGTCGCAGGTCTTGTTTGCAGCGTAGATTCATTCTCCTTGCAAACATTTCCCGTTATTTGTTTTCGCGATCTACTTTCGTCACTGGTTTATATATGAAAACCACCAGCAAACCTTTGAAGTCCCGTTTCCACGCAATTTCGACCCCCCCCCATCCCCACCCCAGTTCATCCCTAAACTCATCAACTGGTCCGTTCATTCACTTTAAATAAAATCCCAGCCCACGTTTCCCATCCACAATTTTCAACCGATCCGTTACAAACGTAAATAAATCCTAATGAGTTGCTCACTGGGGTAAATAAAACAAATGTCAATAAGAGCTCTGATAATAATATGTAACCTTGTATGATTAAACAGACGCGAAGGAAGTACCAGCACGAGTTCCTGTCTGCCAAGAAGTAGCTCGATCGACAGTGTTGCCGAGTGGGGATTAATCGGCGGTGTAGGAGGTATCGGAAGTGTCATCAGTTCCGGAAGTAGCTATGGCTTGATGGCGGATGCACCACCTCCAAGAAGAAGTCCAAGTCCGCTTCTTGGCGCAAGAAGCGACAGGCTGAGCCTCGTATCGCCTAACATAGGTCGACGGGTCAAGGGTCACAGAGCAGTAGTCGGTGAGTGGATGAAAATCAGCCATGAGTTTTGTCTGACACGAATCGAAACATAAGGTCTGAATTATAATAATAATAAGTCGATTGACCGTACCATATACAAGGGAAATATAATTTTTGGCATTGTACACCCTCATAATTTCAGGATGAAGAGTTACGATGGCGACACCTTTATCTTACTTACACTGTTACCTGCACCTATCCATCCTGTTACCACCCAGTGTGAACGCGGCTTTATTGAGCCTATGCACGATCTCGATGATTGCACGGATCCGAAGCGACGTCCGCCATTAATCGTTATAAAGCTTCGAGTAGTTTACGTGAAGTTCAGATGGCGCCACTGTATTCAAATAAAAGTTCGCTACTTGGCGTGCATATAAATATTACTAATTGATTAATCAGAGGGATATATGTATATACAGAATACATATATAAAAGATACAGTTGACAGTGAATTATATCGTAATTGTATCGAGTCAACGTACCGGCACGTTGGTTGCGTGCAATTACGTCGACAATTTATTATTGCTGGAGGATGGACTTTTATCATTGCGTAATCTGCCGATGTAATCCGGCTCGAATTAATACATAGCTAAAAGCCCATTCAGAATGGCTAAATATCCAAATAGTATATATCGAATTCTTGTTAAATGTAATTTACGTGAAGAAGGGCGAGAAAGCAGGATTACTCGAGCTCCTTAAGGTTAAGTTAGGAGACATAGAGGGTAGAACGATCAGAGTGTCTGTACTCGCGAAAAACAGATATTCAAGGCCAGATTATCTTGAAGCTAATTAGTCGCAGAGAGAAGAGAGCCTGGTTTTATCTTACTTGCGTTTAAATCGTCAGCGATAAAGACATTTAATATGGCAGCACTTGATTTGTATTCTTTTCCTTTATCGTCATTTTCGTAAACCACCTGAAGCGCCATCTGTACTTTACAATGCGTATGGATTATTAATTTTAATGTCACCGCACTGTAGCCGGGTCTCACGAAATTAGTTGATCCATTGTATACAACCTGTACTTACAATTAGCAGACATTGTTGGCCTCGTTTCTGCCACTTTCCAAATAATACTACCACCACGGATATTTTTATGAGAAACTGGAACGTTTTCATTTTGACTGTTAATTGTATCTAAAGTTATTATATTTTACTGTAACACGTTCCAAAGTTCATTATACGTCATTGCATCTGAAACGACCTGTACATACCGTCGATGGTGTACAATGAGTACAATAAAATTGCAATTTATTCTAAGATGAGCATCATTGAATATTGATTCGAATATTTAAATAAAATAGCCATTTCTAGGCTGCGATTGTTTTTGATTACGCGAAAAGTGCTGGGTTGAACGCAAAAACGATGCTGTAAATTGGAGTCGCTCGGTACAAAAATCGTAATTTTTTAAAATAAGTAAACAGGACGATACTGGATTTGTTCGGAGCGCTGCTGTTTTTAGTCACGCGCGTGTCAGTCTAGTCATGTAAAATGGCGATAATGTGTATACTATATTATTTTATATTATACGTTACGGCACGAGTTATAGCGAACGGACTATCATCGTTTTATGAGGTTAGGCGGTAATAAATTTTGAATCACAAAATATTATATGTATGCCCCTGCTAGACATCGTGTATAAAATAGCAGAAAATGCGTTTACTTTCGTTTATACGTATAATTTATATGTCGTTGATATATAAAACTATATACGTTATTGCCGTGTAACGATTACAGGCAATATTTGCTTAATGTCTGTACGCGGTAGCTATACGGAACATAATTATAATCCCCATTTTGGATGGAACAGTTAAAATTAGTTTGACGACCTTGCAAATAAGCTCGCGATTAGCCTAACAGTCGTTTGGTAACGATTAATGGCGGACCGTTGATTCACGTGTTGAGAGAGGAGTATGAAAATCTGGCAGTTGCGTAATCACGCAAATAGCTTTTCTAATTAAACTTTTCCGTTGACTTTACGAACGTGTAGAAGTTTAATTGTAAAAATGACTTATCGATCGTTGATCGATTAGGTAAATTATAGTATTAGTAATTCGAAGGTCAGTGACCCGTTTTGTATAGTGTAAAATAGAATTGGATACTAGTCTTTTTATGTATACGTATTAGCACTGCTCACCGATCCAGACTTTATGTCGGTCAGCTGATCGATAATTAAATACAGTCGGATAAACACGATAATGAACTTTTATTATAATATACGGCTATTTAACGAGGTAGCTTAAAGTTCACCGTGTAGGATGAAAAGTGGATTCATGGGAACATTGGTATATGGGTAAAGAGAAAAGATAAATATTTATAAGAAACAAAGAAGAATATATGACACATCCCGTGAACAAATTTTCATCATATTTCAACGGAGTGATGTATTGTATAGAAGGAAAACGAAAGTCCGATTGGGATTGACAGTCGCGCTTGATCATCGTGAAAACTGATATGAGATTTATTAAAGACAAGGCTTTCTTCGTAAAACCTTTCGGCTTTAGGGTTGCTTTCACGTTACGCGGATATTCGCCGGCACTCATTTTGCCATAAAACAGTGTCGCCTTGGCGAAAGGTGCAGTGCCGGCTAAACGTAAAAGAATGAAGCAAAATATAAAATACATGGATTTTTTATGGTTATGATTCTGAACAACGGAATGGACTTTCGCGTTCGTTCTTGACATACGTACTTTTTCAGTTAGTTTACCCATGGAGGATTGCAGGTAATATCAAGGAACTTCCGGTAACTAAAACCAATCAGACCTTTGCCACGAGTGTACAGAGTCACATCATTTTGAAGAATCGTATATTCCCTTATGTTGTTCAAGATATTTTCGAAAGACCGAGTATTGAGTTCTAATAATAGGATAGCAGTGGGATTGACCTTGACATCCTCGTTACGTTACTCAAAGTGTATCTGCAGCAAAAAGAAAAGATTTTAAATCGTTAGGATTTCAATTGAAATTCTTCTATGGATTTTCATTGTATGCACGTTACTCTGGAGGATTTCCACGTCCAGGAGGTCCTCGGAGAGTATCGTCGTCGTTAGAAGTTCAGAGGTCGCGGTCACGTCTCTGGTACCAACTTAAATTGCCAAGAGCTTACTGCCGTAACGCGAAATCCTCGGTAATTTCCAACAGTCTGTCGGTCCCCCAGGAACGTCCTGAAGAAACTTGATAACGACGGTGAGATTGACTACCGTAAGGATATGTTGGACAGAGAAAAAAAATTATTACTTGGTACCTGACCTAAAGGACCCGTCTGACACGGCCCTGAGGACGTTGAGATCCTGACCAATGAGAGCGTGCCCCTTTCGGGGGCCTTAAGAAGTCCAAACGTCAAACCGGTCGCTCCCACTTCGAGGTTGTAGAAAAGCACATCCTTCAAGTGTAGAGGTAGCTACAGGGCCTGTTTGAATTAGGGGGTCTACGGGGCCCTGTTTAAACCTATATACACTGAAAGTAAAGATACAGGTCGATTCATTAAAGAAATTCAAGGCTACGTATGCAGTAAAATTCTTTGAATAAATTCCATTCACATCGAGGCATTGTTCGTTCAATGGATGTCATATTTTTATGTAAGCATATCTACGCGTTTTAACCAACTGTCAATTTCTCCCACGTTCTATCAATCGAATCTGATGATATCCCTTGCTGCGTGAGAAATAACTGTCACGCGAGATACCACTTATCCTTTTTGTACAGAAGTACGAAACGACCGAGGGATATAAGAAAATAACATAGTGTTGAACTTGACTAACGCTGTACCCTGTGTATAACCAAGTCTATGGTATAACCTGTACACAGACCCTTTCGCGGCAAGCAGGTTAGGATCGGTTGCGACGCGCACGCGCCGTTCACACGCGACTCACACAGCTCCACACTTGTGAATGCACCTTCATACACATCGAATAAACGATACCTGGAGAATATCTTGTTGTTCAAAAGAAGAACGTGCCGCGAGTTCGTTCCGACTTACATTGACACGTGTGAAAATTATCTCCGAGCGAATCGTCGCGTACGTCTAACAGTGATTCCTAAGGACAGTCGATTATCCATCTCTCGTGTATATATATTTCTCATAAATATTCACACAACAGTTATCGCGTATCCATCAGCATCCATTCTACACAATATCAACCTATTATTCCGACGACGCTCTGTCCGACGCGAAGTTATATGCTATGGAATGTAGCTGGCGTCGTCCGCAGGATGGCGCTGCCTACCTTCGCCTTCCGCCATTTGCTCGGAACTAAACGGGAAATTTGAAAATAACAAGAAACGCGAAAAAATGTACTATACGCTTTTTTTATTCGTTAAATACATCGTTTCATGTTATCACGTGGTGATGTGCGTGTAACTACGATTCCTGGATATGGATCAAGGATTTACGCCAAGAAGACGCTTAGAGGCGACTTTACCGTGAGTCGTCATTGATAACGTCTTATGTTCCTTTATGGTGTTCAATATCAGTCTTGAACGTTTCTATTACTTCGAGAACATAATTTAAGATTTTATAAACCATTGGATTTTCGAGGACAACAAAAAGTCTTATTGACTTTTCTTGACTTTCTTTGATGTTAGGATTTACTCGTAGATCGCAATGCCTGTCTTTGTTGTTAAATATCGTCGGAGGTCGGCAGACTGGATGTTACGTCATCGATTACTGGTCGCCAAGTGAAAGTACAATACACGCTGCTTATATCACTTCGATATATTGCTATAATGTGTGTATGGTATACTTCGGCTGAATTCTCACGGGAAACGCGATATATGCGAATGGTAACGACATCTGGGACCAGAGGGAAATCGTTAAACCGTGAATTACGCCCGGTTATAGCGGCGAACGTAATCTGATTATGTAGATACGAAATTCCTCGTATGCGATATATGTAAATATTGTTATCTATACAGATGCGCGATCCAGCCCACGTGCTTTTAATTGAATGGATGATTGACTAAGCAAATAATTTGTTGTATCTCGTTCGTTTCATGTTTTGTTTTCGTGCTTTTCGGACGAGTCTTTTTTTTTTATTTGTTACGCCACACTGTATTTCGTCCATAATTAGGAAATATTCACAGGAATGAGGTTGACTATCGCAACTCGTTGCCGAAATGTTCAATCAGCCTTTGCTTCGGGTAAAATGGACGCCTTGATGAATTTTCAAAGGAGGAACGGCAAAAAAATAGTAAACCCGAATAAACCTTTATCAGCGCGAAGTTTTTGAACTAAAAATTTTACGTTACTTATTTTTATTCTCAATTTATTATTCGTAATTTTAACCTTCATTAAAGATTCGGATTAGTTTCATCTCCCCATTTAACCAGATCGGTCATGCGGCTGCTTTACTTAACCTATGTGACTTTCTGGGGCCACGTATGTATACGAGCGTCGCGACGCTCTGTATCTCTCTTGCCTTTTGCATCATGCACGACTTAGGCGTTTTCCGGTTTAGTGTCAGTACTAAAGTAATCCCGAAGGGATTATATAGGGAATTAGAGGGCACGTGGTAGTATGGCGAATGCACTGTACATCCTTGCTCTGAGTATAGTATGGACTATAAATAACGAGAGAGAGAGAGACAGAGAGAGAGAGAGAGGAATTAATAAATATATATTTATTGCGCGCGTGTAATAAAAGTCCTGAAGAGGGTGAAGGGTGGAGGAGGAGGGAGGAGCTCTATAAAAAGGGCTAAAAAGGAAAGTTAAGAGATACAAAAATTTCGGAAAATTTACGAACATGTTCGAAAGACAGTTTGTCAATAGTATATATTCTGACGTAAGAAATAAAGAAATATGGCGGTCCCCTTAGTTCCTCAAGTACACTAATGCGCCATCCGTGCCAACCCTAAGATTCGAAATGGCTCCCTTTGCCACGTGCCTGTACTTGAACCTGCCAGAAGTAAGCCGTGCATTTTTCTTCTTGTTGTAGTTTTTCTTTCTTTCTTTTTAATTCTCTCTTTTCTCTCTCTCCTTCTCACTCTCTCTCTCTCTCTCTCTATTTATCTATCTTTCGCCTCGCCAGACATTAGACGCTGTACCTAAGACCACTCTTTATTCCCTTTATGTTCAGACTCCTATCTCGTGCTTCGCGGGCTGGGTGATAATTCTGCTCTGCGAATTTCTCACAATCAAGCTACGTGGTACGAGACGTGATCCGTCGGGATGCTGCAAATTGAAAACGAATTCGGAATAAAAGATTCAATCGAAAATATTCTTTCCCTCTGAATCATATGTAATTTTACCTGTACCGTAGATATAGGTATACATATATGTCTGTAGAATTATACCTATATGTAAAGTATGTATTAATACGTTATATATATATATAGATATTCGCACATACATACCTATTCTCGTACTCTTAGTTATTACATTGTAATCCTAACAGGATATCCGGTGGCTGTGAAAAGCATAATAACGTTCTTCTTAAAATTTGCAACCCCTTTTGTCCTGCTTACCCCTTTTCTATACGTTCGTATTATTAGAGACACGTTCCAAATGAGCGTCGGGGTTCGTGTAAACGTACCTTGAGAAGCATTGTATTGGGATATCCTGGTCCCTATTTTTTTTTAACTCTCTTTAAATTTCTCTATATATCTTGTCTCTCTTTTTCTTCATCACTCTCACCCTCTCTCTCTCTCTCTCTCTCTCTCTCTCTCTCTCTCTCTTTCGTTCTCTATGTTAACGCGGTAAATTAACGTTGTACCAGGGCACCGGAAACTTTCCGTTACGACGACGGTTTGCCTGATCTTCCTGTCCTCGGTTGAAAACACGGGAAAGGTGGGCGGCACCTGCACTACGAGGTAGGAAAGTACAGGTTCGTTAAAAAGTGACGTATCCGCGCGAACGTTGCCAGGAACTACATTCTTCAATTTTCTCCTGCGATATTTTGAAACAAGCTGTATGCGAACAGGCGCACAAAGCAGGTGCCCTTCTTTAACCTGGCAACCCTGGCCACTGCTGGGATGGGAATATGAGTGCTTCTGACGGACAATATACAGGCTGTTTAAAATTGGAGAGTCCAGTAGCGAAAATGTTATTTTTGGAAAATTAATAAAATTTTCACAGTCCGATGGCTTTGTACGGTATTTATGGTAATTTTATTTAACGGATTTATTTTGAAAAACTCTGTATATTTAATCACTATTTTTATGGACTGAAAGGCGCTGTATCTTCAGCGAGCAGTTGAACGCATATTTTTTGGCTGGTCACTTGCTTTTTTGGGTTTACGTTAAGCGCGCGTTTCAAAGTCGGAAGAAATATGGCTACAGGTCCTTTCACTTTTAGTTTGGATATTCGGTCGTTCTGTGCTCTGAATTTAACGATATTTTACTCACCTGCCGGTTCCGTTCCTGTTATGCCTCGATGCTCTTGGTTCCCCATCTGTTCCGAGCCTTCCTTCTTTCAGTCAGTGTCCTTCCGTCCCTTCGTAAGGACCTCACGAGACGCGTTCCCTTTATCGCCACGTAGTGGAACAGAGAAAATTTTTCGTTGGATCGTATGGAACGCGAGCGACAATCGTTAAGCCTGTTCACAAGAGATCGACATGCAGTGGCTGTAATTTGAAACGCGAAAAACCTAATAATGATTGTGACAGTGTTATATAGTTAAAAAAGATTTTGGAAAATTTTCAAAAATATCAGACGCGATCGTTCCCGTAGAGAGGCTTTGATGAAAATTGAAAAATGACAAAGAAATTCATATATATATATATAATTAATTTTGGAAAAAATTTTGAATGACTTTTCTCGAAAATATTTTTTTATCTTAATTTCATTTTCCACCTGACGACATATCTGACTTCATATCTCGAATCAATTCTATCGGCTCTACGATGTTCAGCTATCTTAATTGTGGACGCGCCTTGTCTTTATCCTAATGGCGGTTTTTGTGATCGATGGGAATACCGAAAGTCGTTGCATGAGTTTTTGAATTTTTGTTATTGTCATTGCGCACGCGTGGCATTGCTCGATCAATCGTCGATCGTGACGAACGATCAATGGATCGATATCGAAAATTGAAATTTTTCGTACATAAATTGTGAAGTGATAGCAGTGTTAAAAAAAAAATAAAAAATCTTGAATTATAATTTTTTTTTAAACAACCATTCAATTCTGTAATCGATCCGTTTCTACGTGCATTTATCCGAATTTGACTGGTCGACATCTTCACTCAATTTGGATCCTTCGGGGAACGGTGGGACAATCATGGTGCGATTTTACGGTACGAGTTGAATTGAGGTAAAAATGAAATTAACCAAAGTAATTAAGAACTTTGATAAGCATCAGCTTTGCGTGGACGTGAAAAAAAAAAAACGGATGAAAAATTAATGTAGCTTTTATAGTAGCTAAACGTCTGAGGGTTTAAGGGATTGCCCGTGAGAATTTGGCTGATTAGCTTTTTCGAAATTTACCTAAATAACCATTGATAACGTGAAACATTTTTTTTTATTTAAAAAAAACATCTTCAGCCCTAGTAAAAAAAAATTTTTTTCCGTATTACCTACATTGAAACGGTTTTCAATGTCTGCTTATAGCCAGTCGAAAATAGGCGGTTTCACCTAGGGCGGACACTTATTCTGACCCAGGGCAGAAAACGTGTACTTTCTGACTACCAAATTAGTTGCTGACTCCGTTTAATACCTGTCAGAATTAAATTTGTTTATTGTAAGCTTCTCAATATCTGTCACTCTGACAGTTGTTGTGTTTGCCATGTGTTGCTGCGCGATCGTTCTGAAATTGTCTCCTTTCGACTGGCTCCAAACATTAAACTCCCAGTTTCAATGCAATATGAAAGATATATTACGTGACCCGGAATGAAACACGATTTCCCACGTCGGGTGACGTCAGCCCTCTCCTACTGCTCAGTCAGCCAACTTCACCCTAGTATGAAATCGTCTTGTTTCATCCCTTGTCACACGATATACTATTCTCCTATAATCCTGAGTTTGATTTTTGCAAAAATCATTATCATCGCCTTTTTTTTGTATATTTCATCAATTTTAATTTTTATTTGTCTGAAACGTCAACTTATCAACCCATCACCACCCCACCCGTACCAACCTCCACTCACTCGTTATCTGAAAAATTAGCCCAAATCAATTTCATGCTTGCTAAACGCAAGCGGCAATATCGAAAAAAAAGTGTTTATTCACGAATAACAAAAACATACTGATATATCCTTATCAACCCTCATATCCCGTTATCATCGATTATGCTCGATCAATGATAATTTATGGTTTCTTTACGTT